CTTCCATTCTTGTGTACATAGACTCTTCATTTGGAAATGTACCTCTTGTGGAGTTCAAGTTGGCCTGTCTGCACGCTTTGTTCTTAAGGGTTCATTTGTCCACCAGTTTCTTTGCTCAGTGCTCCCCTGGGCTGAGTGCTGCTCCAGGCTTTCCTTCCTCCCACCTTCACTGACACAGCATGAAGTGTCTCACTTGCAAGGAAGAACAGAGACCATTGGCTGCAGTGAGACAATGGCACAGGTTGCCCAGAGAAGTGGTGGATGTCCCATCCCTGGAGACACTCAAGGTCAGGCTGGATGGGGCTCTGAGCACCTGATGGAGCTGTAGGTGTCCCTGTTCATTGCAGGGGAATTGGACCAGATGGCCTTTAAAGGCCCCTTTCCAACTCAGTGATTCTATGAATCTTAGCAAATATCTGTGAGCTGGACTGCTCAAATCCACATAAAACATGGTGGAATTAGTAGTGGGAGACCTTGACTGCAATAAGTGAACCCCAAAGTCCAAACTTGTGGCACAAGTCAGGGTTGGATGTAAAAATGCTGCCATGAAGTACTCAGGATTGTAGTGAGCCTGGCCATTGGACAGCACATGGAGTAGCTACAGGGAAACTGCTTGATCAAATTACAGCTGATGTAACAACCTGAATGGGTACAATTTCTTTGTGTACTTAGCAAACCGGGTTAGATTTCTGGAACATAGGCTTAGCAGGCACATGGATTTTGTTGATACTTTTTGTTGATATAGGTGAAACTAATCTTTTTGTTTGTGATTAATGATTTATGAGCTCATTTCAAATAGCTTTCAGGTGTGGTTTTGGGTATACAGGCTGTGCTTTGTGCTGTGGCACTTCATAGGTATTTACTGGGGAAATGCAGTGCAGTTCAGGCACTTGAATGATGTGTACACTGATTCTGCTAAGGCAGTTTCTTCTTTGAGTCTAGGACTTATCATCTATAGCTGTTAGCAAGCAATGAGTGAATGCAACTAGGACAGAAATGTGTTGTGTGAATATTTCTGAGTTCACAATTATTGCAGGCACTTTCCTTCCAGTGTGGGCAGCTCCTGTATGCTATTATCCTAGAGGAGGGGAGTGCTGGGCAGACACTAAAGAGTTCAGCAAGGCTCATTTGGTATTCTTCACTGCTGTGTTCATGCTTGTGTAAGAGAACTGCACTGACCTGCAGTCCATTCCATACGGATTTCCAGTCTGGGCTCGCTGACTCCCTGCGTCCTGGTGCACCCTCAGAGGCCTGGCTGTTTCATCAATTCCCTTTGTCTCATATTTCTTTTGAATAAGGTTTGCGCCAGAGGGAGAAGAGCAGTATTGCTTTGAACCTAAGAAGCAGGAGATGCATTTGTTGTTGTAAACTTTGGAGGACTTTGAGGAAGGTTTTCTGTAGGGGACAAAATGAAAGCGTAACATGTTGCTGTCTGTGTGCGGGTATACTGCAATCCTCCTTCCCCTGCATATGAATGATAGTCAGCCCAGTTCCCCTTCAGCAAATGCTGTGTTCAATGATAATTGTTTCATGAGGAAATTAAAATGTCAGTGCTGTGCTGTGTTAATGATAGAGACTCCGGAGAGCTTTGAACAAAAAGGTTTGGCACATAAAGTGGGTCAGAAAGAGCAGATATTAGTGCTAATGATAACATCAAACGTCCTGGGAAAAGAGCATCAGTACAGTGTGAGACACAGCCAGTGTAGGGAGCGGGCTCAGCCCTCCTCTGACTCCACGGGTCCGGACATTTCTCCTGCTCTGGTGGCTGGCAGGAGATTGGGCTGTTTGCTCTGCAGGGCAGAGGAGCACCGTGCAGGTGTCTGTGTGAAGAGACGCATTCAACTGGGCCTGCTGGAAGCCATTTGTTCCTGCTGTAACCCAGTCACACCAGGGCTGGCTGAGCTCTCGCCCCAGCAATAGATAAATCAGAGTGATGTAAGCCTAGCGCTCCTGTGATAAGGAGAATTAGGAAGTGGATTGAGAGGGGCTTGTTTCAGAGCTACAAAGGCAGCAGAGGGTCGGTGGGGCTTTGAAGGAGGCTGCTGTGTGGAGCTGCCATTGAACTGGAAGCGATCCGTGTCGCCAGGGAAACAGGCAGCCTGTGATTCCCGGCCAGAGGACGCCTGGACTTTGAAATAATGGTGTAAAGGTTTTTGTGACACGCACCGTCCGGGTTTTAAAAATAACCACTTGACATTTAGCGGGGTATGAAAGGGATATTGCTGCAGTTTAGCTGGTGGTTGACAAATACTGATAAAAACTGGGTCTGTTTGAAGAGGGGTTTGAATGTTGGTTCTGCTAAAGCTCTCCCAGCGCAATTGTTTGGGGGAGAAAGAATGAAGTGGGAGGTGAAAGGAAAGTGTTGAGTAGACGGGATGGGAGCTTTGTTCTCCTAGCATAATTGTAGCAGTATTTCTGCATTACTTTTTCCATTGTAATGTTACAAAGGATGTACCCAGGAGTAAAGTTTAGAGTAAGAAATTAATGTGGGAGAGCAAAGAAAGAAGCTGAGAGCACTGGAGTTGGAGTGAAAGGCTCGAGTTGTCTTCCATTTTCCTTCATAAGTATGGCAGTCTGGTGGACTTTGGAGAACTATGAATTAAAGTGAATTACCACAGAAAAGATGGTAAAGGCCCCAGCAGAATTTTCAAGGTAGAGTTCAGAAGTAAGGGAATGGCAGGATAAGCAGTAGGAGGAAGCTGGGAGCAAGCGGCTTCTCTGATGTGAATCTAGCTCTGCAGCAAGGATGGAGCATTGTTTCCCTGAGTGCTGTGTCAAACCCCTGCAGATCTTCAGCCACCTAAATCAGTGGGGATGTTTCCTGCCGCTGGAGGCAAGCATACTGCCTGCAGTTGTCTGGTTCCCTGGGCTGGGTGGCAGCTTATCATTTGCTCCGTGCATGGCAACTCTGGGTTGACTCATGGAAGTCAAAGGGCTTGGTGTCTGGAGCCAGGTCTGCAAGCCCCTCCTGAGTAGAGTATTTGTTCCCTTTCCTTTTCTGTCTGCTTCCCCATGCACTCTCCTGCTTTGAGTGCTGAAAGCACCTGTGTTCAGATGGCATGACTTTTCTTATGCAGCCTTTCCATGCTGTTTCTGAGAATGGGATATTACAGCTGCCAGAAACAGAATTTTGCTGTAATTAATAAAGTGCAGGGAATAGGTTTGATTTCTCTCCAGGGAGAACCGTTACAGCAGAGACAACAGGGGTGGATTTGGCCTCAGTGATGTAACTTTTCTTTGGGGAATCAAATCTACATCCAAAATCCGTGTTCCAAGCAGAAGTTTCATGGATAGCGAGAACAGGATGTGATCTCACATCAAGTATCACAGAGCTTTCTTTAACGTGCCTTAAAGGTTAAGAGAATACCAAGTGTTTATCACTGGAATGTGAATGTAAGCAGCAAAGTGAATGTGTATCTGAACAGGAGAAAATAATTACTTACAGTTTCAATTTCACGATAACTGAATGGCTCTTTTTTTTTTCTCTTTTTTTTTTCCCCCCCCCCCCAAATAAAGAGCCAGCACTCATAAGCTGCAGAATGGTCTGGAAAGCTACATGTAAGGTAGTTTTTAAAAAAAAACCCTGTTAAGTGGTATTGGTTTTTTTATCTCGTTTCTCAGGCTAACATTCCTTTGGTGGCTGTCACATGTTTACCAACCAGCAGCCTTCCTCGTTCCTTGGGTCATTAAGTCAACAAATACGAAACAGAGAAAAAGAATAGGCACCACTCCAGTCCCTGAAACTCAGGGCTGTGCTTCTGCTCCACTTTGCCCTGCTTGTGTGAGCACCACAGGTCCAGAGGATTTAGCAACCTGTCCCAGGAAGAGAGCTTTGAAATGTATTTTTTGTGAGAAGAGTATCTTTGGGAATTTTCACTGCTGGCTTGACTTGTTTTGCTGCTTTACGTAAGGACAATTAGGTAAGCCTGGTGCTTTGAATAATTTGTGCCTATTTCTTGGTGCGAAGATAGCTTTCCTATTTTGTTGCTTCTGTGACAATTGTAGTTTTTTAAAGGTAAATCCTGAGTTACAACAATTCTTGTTACTGTGAATTTGCATGTTTCTTGGGTTTTCTTAAAGCGGTAATACAGAGGTCTTGGAAATTGCAAATAATGAAATAGGAGTTAGCCTTTTCTTCTGTTTTCTGCTTTGACTCTGTGCTGTTTCCTGCTGGCACTTAAGATTAAAATCTACTACTACAGAATAGTAGTTAGACCATAATTATAGGCCCACAATAAGTAATGTGAGTGCAGGGAATTTACATTCACATTAAGCAGAGGGGGTACATCTGATCCCTGTGCAGGGGAAGCTGTCAGTACTTGCAGATACTTGTGGCTGGCGTAGGTTAAGAAAAGGGTCTAAATGTAGCATGGTAGCTGTGGGAGAATATAGCTGAAGATATCCGAAATAAAATAGTAAGCAGGCCTTGGCTGCATGTGTCCGAATAACCTGAGGAATCATGCTGCACTTTGTTCTTGGGGTCTGCTATGGCAAGTGTTTTGCAGAATGTGTGCAGGGATGGTTGTTCACGTGGGCTGAAGTATCAAACTGCAAAAGCCTGCAAAATATGTGGAATCTGTTTTAGTTAATCTCCATTGCATCTATTTTGGTTAATAGTCACCTCCACCTCTCCCCTTGCTGTCCTTCTGACTCTCAAGTGGCATAGCGCTCCATTTTAGTCTTGAGAATGGGATCTGATGGGCATCTTGCTAGACCACTCTTGATTGTTTTTGAAAGGTTATGGTAATCAAGAGAGGTGCCATAGAGGACTGGAAGAAAACAAATATTGCTCCAGTCTTCAAAAGTGGCAAGAATATATAGATAGAAGGAAAAAATCTCTTACAGTGAAGGTGGTGAGGCGCTGGAACAGGTGATGAGAATCATTGGAATAGTGATGAGATTGATGCCCCGTTGCTGGAGACTTTCAAGACAAGGCTGGATCAGGCCCTGGCCAGCCTGGTCTAGCTATGGATATCCCTGTTCATTGCAGGGGAGTTGGACAGAAGGCCTTTGGAGCTTCCTTCCAAATGCAACACTGTGATTGTATGAAGAAGGAAGATCTGGGGAGCTACTGGCTAGTCAGCCTCACCTCAGTCCCTGAAACGGTGATGGAACAGCTCATCCTGAAGGCCATCTCTAATCATATGGAAGTCAAGAAGATGATCAGGAGGACTCAGCATGGATTCATTGAAGGGAATCATGCTTAATGAATCTGGTTGCCTTCTGTGATGTCACTGCTGTCTGGACAGGTGAGGTTAGAGCAGTGGATGCTGTCTGCCTTGACTTCAGCAAAGCTTTTGATAGTGTATCCCATGATATCCTGATAGACAAGCTCAGGAAGTGTTGGCTGCAAGAGTGGATGGTGAGATGGGTTGAGAGCCATCTGAAAGTGGAAACCAGAGGACTGTGATCTGTGGCACAGAGTCTAGTTGGAGGCCTGCAGCCAGCGGTGTTCCCCAAAGGTCCAGTACTGTTTAACATACTCCCAATTTACTTAGATGAAGGAATAGAGCACCTTCTGAGCATCATCAACATTTGTTTTCTCTTTTGAGATCACTCCTGCTCCCCATTAGGTCAGTGAGAACCTTACTTTTGATTTCCATGTCCTATTCCAGAGACATATTTTGAGCATAAGTCCTAGGGTCCAAGTCTGATTCAGTTTTGCCAGGCTGAGAAGTGCCTGGAATAGACAGAAGACGTGATACGGGGAGAGTACAGGGGGGTGAGGCACGTGTGGACACCCATGTGTCCTGACCATTAAAACAAGCTGATTCCCACCTCATTCTGCCTGTTGAACCTGATTTCCTCTCCTTTGTTACAGAGCTTGTGGTTAGCTGAATCAGTTCATGCCCTTCTCCTTTCAGCCCTAGTAATGAGTTAATTAGTTTGTTATACTAATTCATATAGAGAAAATTTCACAGTGGTGTGGTAGAAGGTGGCAGTACTTGCTAAGCTCTTAACTCTGTTAAATTTGTGAATCTAGAAACCACTGGCATTTTTCCCCAAGCATTTATTTTAATGGCTTTTGTTATTGTTAAAACATGTTTTCCCAGCGTGTAGGTCACTTGGTCAATGCTAGAGGCCTAGAAATCTTCCATAATAAAATCTTTCTTTGAAACCATACCCATTTTCTTTCTGATCAGGAGGTTGCCACTGCTGATATTGCCTGGATGTGTTTAAAGGGAGCTGAAAAAGAGATGAGTTAGATTGAGAAGGCCACTCTTGTAACAAATGGCTCCAGGCTTGTTGGGGGCGAGTGTTACCAATCATTGAAAATAATCTTCCTTTCAAGGGAGAATTGAGCCACAGAGAAGTCATGGACCTTGTTAGTGTCCTGCTGTCTATTAACTGCTCTCAGTGAGCAGATGGTCTCCTCATGGCTTCCCAGGAGGCTCTCTAGGCATATGCTGTGTGCAGGTCTGAAACTGCCGTGTGAGTATCCAACATATTGTGGCCTCTTGCTGTTCCCTCATCCCCTTCAGCAGCAATTGGGAGGTGTCCATGGCCTACCAGGAACTGACAAGAAGGTCAAGGAGGAGCCAGGAAGGTGATGAGAGGGTGCTCTGTTTTCTGTGGGCACACGGCCTGCTCTCTGCAGATGGGAAATTGTGTAAGTATTAAGAGATTTGGTTTGATTAGCTGAAATCTTCTGTTGGCAGCACATTTCCAGTCCCTGGAGCAATGGAGATCAGACGGGTTGCCAAGGCAACGCACAGCCTTCAGTGAGTGGTTTACTTCTGCATCGTCCTTGGTCAGTTGATGGAGTAGAGCTTATTTAGGTCTTTGAGGGGAAAAAGAAAACTGTTGTCCAGCCTTTTACTGTGGTGAGTCATTCTGCCTTGGGTCACCAGTGGAACTAAGAATGAGGTTTTGTGGGTGAGAAAAAGAAGTGCATGACAACATAAAGATCCCAATTAGATTCCTCTCTGAAGCGGTGAGAGCACTTCAGTTCTAAGTGGAAACAACTTATTCTTTTTCTCCCCAAACAAGAGGGAAGCATTAACAAAAGTCCTCCTTTCTCCTTCCTCCTCTCCCTGTTTCTCTGTCTCCCAAATGAAAAATATGTATTTCCATTTGCTAGAGAGCTCTGTGCTTACTGTTGAATTCTCAACTCATACAGTAGATCTTTACATTTTAACTTCCCATCAGTGCTTTGCTTGCTGTTCTCCACTCCATCTTCTGTTGCAGAAGCCTTGATGAAGTCAGCTTGTATAAGTTCTGTTACTCTCCTTTTTGCACGATCTGCGAGATGAAATGCTCAGTGTGCCACCACTGCGAGGATGCAGTTGAGGTGTGTGTGGGGAGTGGGCAGTGTGCTCAGAGTCATTCCTGTCTGCCGTTGGATCATTGATCTGGACTCCAAGTCAGGGAGTTTGCTGTGGCTGATTCCTGGTTTTGTTGAGACAGCAGTGTTGTGCCAGTGCTGTGCTGAGTTCTCTCTGAAATTTTGGAAGGGACCGGGTGCAATGTTTGCAGAATCCAGGAGAGGAGTGCTATCACAGAGAGTGTGTAAGGACTTGATGTGCTAATAAAGATCCCCATAAAGTAATTGTGGAGTTGATAGGGAAGACATGCTACAGGGCTAACAAGAGCACACCTGGTGAGTTGAAGGTGGTATATGAGAAACAACATCAGAGTGCCCTTTTTGGTCTCTTTTACTGTTGAGCTAAATGTGGGTTGCGCTCAGCAGCAGATACCTTATTAGTTCAGAAGAAAATAAGTGTGCAGGCCAGAATTAGGAAGCGCTCACTGCATGGCCTAACACAGGGAGCCAGGCTGGCATTCTCTGAAAGCGCAGGTGCTCTGATTCTGTTGTGTGTGTACCTGAGCTGGTGTCATGTAGCATGGGGAGAAAAGAGAGAATTAAAGTAAGCCTAGGCACTGCTTGCTGAGATGCACGTTCTGACCTTCTCTGTCATAAAACCAGTGCATGGCCTTTGCAGACTGCAATTTGTAGATGAGAGGAAGAAATTAAAAAGGATAGAGGAGCCTTTAGAAGTCTGCATTTATTTATCCTTTTTTGAGAGGATGGCATTTGATAGATGTGTCACTGTGGTGTTGCACGGTTATATTCTTTCCCTGTCTCAAAATACTGCATTAGTGATACCATGGCAACAAAGAAGTTGTCTTTAAAGGAAAAGCAAAAAAAAAAGCATGACTTCAGCACTCAAGAAAGGTGGCAGACTGACAGCCCAAGCCTTCCCTTTCTACCAGAAAGGCAGTGGTGTCAGCTGTGACAAAATGTATGTGATTATGAGCTCTGAGTTGTACTGTGACTGAAAACAAACCTGGGACGTGATCAAAGGCAAACCTACTGTAGTAAGCTGGTTGGGAATTTCTGAGACAACATATTCTTGTTACACAGACAAGAATATTTGGTTAAAATCTGTAACTTTTCTAAAAAAAAGCATCTTGAAAAACCTTTGCTAAATACAGGTTGTGTCCTTATTCAGGATGGTATTTCTCTCTGGGCAGGGTATGGAAACAGCAGGAGAAGCCAGATGTCTCTTGCCACAGCAGTAGGTTTTCCGGTGGTAAGGCAAAGGACACGTGGAAGCTGCCAGTTTAAGCCTCTGCCGTACTTGGTTCAGACTTGAATTTGAACATGGGTCTCATCTCTAACATGAAAGCAGAAGATTGTCTTTTAGGGTCTCGCTTTCTTATCACAGTTGATCTAATCCAAATTGTATGGATATTTATCACTGCAGTCTTTTTCTTGCTTTTCTACGTCTTAGTTGAAGGCTTCCACCACCAGGTGAGTCCCCTCACTGCTCTGTCTGATGGCTGTTTTTACCATGGAAAATTGTTGCGGTGTGTGAAACAGTTTGAGACTGGCTTGTAGGTTAGGGTGAGAATTGAGATAGAGGCGAAGTGACAGAGCACAGGCTTGGGCATAAGGGTTTTCTCATGGCAGGTAGAGCACTCGCCTACACACTCAGTCTGTTACAGTTTTCTAAAGATCTTTTCCCTAGCGCTGATCTCAAATTACTGGGAGTCTAGGAAGAGGACTTTCTGTCTTCTAGTTTTTCATTGCTGGTCTGGAGAAGCATTGAGGAAAGTTGTGAAGGCTGCAGCTCACTCTGGTTATCTCAGACATTGGTTCAACTCTGAGAAAAAACTTGTTTTTTTTATTTACAGGGATTCTTCATATGGGGCAAAAATTGCAGGGTAAAAGTGTCTGAGGGCTTTTCGCACAAAGGATCAAGAAGAAGAGAGTTAAAGACAGCTATTCAATGGAAGGTAGGCAGTGTGAACACTGTGGACAGTGGGGCACGCAGAAAGATTCCAGCTGCTCTGCCCAGCCTGAAATGCTTATCAACATTGGCCTAGTAAAAGCCAGAAAGAGAAGAGAAGGGATTATGTAGGTGTTATAGTTTTCCATCTCTGACTCTTGAGCACAGTAAGACTTTCTCGCTAAAAGTTTATGCCCTGTTTTCCTATATACACACGCACACACACACACATATATATATATATATATATATATATATGAGGAAACTGGTCAGAAGGATGGTTTGTGGTCAGACTGAGCTGAATGCTCCCAGTGTCCCAAGGAAAGGGGGTAAATCTGTGCGGGTCTCAAAGCCTTCCTGTTGTAGTTTGAGGCAAGGATCAGAACTGAGGCCTGGCGGGTACCACAATACTCCTCATGCTGTCTCTGCTGAACTCTCTCAGCCCTGATACATAGGGGGACCAACTTCAAGTCCTTGAATGGCAACTCAGGTGCTGTGCTGCTGCAATTTTCAGTCTCCCTGGTCTTGTTAACTTCACTGTATTTTAAAAGCCACGTTGAATTTTCTAAAGTTATTAATAAGATTGACAATTATTCCTCTAATCATTCTTTTGAGACCTCGGCAGTTAGTTGAGTTGCCTGCATTAGATGACATGCGTTCCCCCCGTCCATTATGACATGCTTCTGTTTCCTTTTCTCATTTCTGTTTGTTCTGTGTGTGTGCTGAGAAATGGACTGACAGCCAGGACTCTTCTAAATGCAGAACATCAGGCATCGTCATATGCAAACACAATGTACTTGCTGTTGATTTGACCTGGAGTTGTTTGAAACACATCCAGCAAAACGAATACTTTATCCTTTCTAATGAGAAAATGCCTTCTGTTGAAGGCAGAATATTTCACAGAACAGTTTGCTTGGTCTCAAACACTGACAGCAGCATTGCTCAAGATTAGGATGGCATTTCTGCTGCAGAGAAAGTAATGTGGCTGCAGAGTATTACATAGTAAGCTCTATAGT